CTCGCTTCGATTTTTAAAATAGCTCAGGAACCTTGATTTTTGCAACGACAGTCATTGTGTTTCGTTTAAATGGTGTATATTTTTGTGTCTATTTATTTTCTGTTCTTGAACCTGCCTATCACTTAAATTAAAGTTAAAACAGACATTTTTTTCAAAATTCCGTATCATTTCAATATAATTTCCGTGACCCGTATCCGATTCTTTAGTATAATATTCAAATAAGCAAAGTGGCGTTGATTTCTGGATATGTAAACCCCGACCCATTCTATATCCGCCCGCCACAAGTCAGTATACTGTAATGCAGTGGTTGTCGTTTTTTGCTGTCTGTCATATTTGAGGCCGTTTTTGTATTATTTATAATAAAATGTTTCACATTTTGTCATGCCAGGTCTTTTTATAGCGGTGTGGATTTTGATACTTTTCAAAGAACGTATATCTATTGTTGCTTAAATTCACGTTATTTGGAATAATTGGGTTAAATTAATACCTCAACATGTTGTTTTTATCATCCTAGATTAGGGACATCGTCAGTTGTGTGTCTTTATACCACGGTGTTAGCAGTTTATTTTCAGTCTCTGCAAAATTCATCATCTACTAGTCAAGATCCGGCATGATTTCGAACTTTTACATATGGAATATTGTCGAAAACAATATATAGGCCTATACAGCAATTTCGATTTCCGATTTAGTCCGACTGACTTCTTTATTGCGCAGATTGACTGAATACCGTTTGCAGAACAATCTCTTTTGGTCAGTGACGTCAAATAGTTTATGTTGTGACGTTTAAAACCTGTTTTATTTCCTTCAATGGCGAACAAAATTAACTCGAAATAATTTTTAAATTGTAAAAAGCTGTTCACGTTAGGTTGTTGTAACACAGATAAATGCCTAAGATCTCATTCTGTTCATTATCAGAATAACAAGATGTGGTACGATAGCCAAATACACAAATCTCCACCAGAGACCAAATGACGTAGAAGTTAACGACTACAAGTCACCGTGCGGCCTTCAACAATGAGCAAAACCCAAACCACATATTCTTAATACATGCAATTCTTTTAAACCAATAATCGAATGATAATACTTTGTTACTTTATAAATATACATAACATCTCATTGGTTGAAGGTCATTACATGGGAACATGTCTCTATAGTTTAATGTTGTCAAGTGTGTGCAGTTCGATTGGTTTTTAGTGTTAAAAGACGGATAACACCATTGCCAATTGAGACGAGAAACAATTAACATTACGAAAAACAATTAACTAAAGATTGAACAATACGAACTCTACAAAATAAATCGGAATAAACTGAAGTATTCCGGAAAGGTTGTCGATGAATGAAAGATTCCCAATGTGTGTATACTGCTGCAGGAGTAGAGGAACTAAGATGCGATATATTCTCAAAAAGCTTTGGAATGTCCTAAGGCCGTATATCGAATTGTTTTCGCATGGGGTCTTGTTGGCAGTTTGGATGTTAAAATGGGTAGCTCAATATTCGCTATTTTTATTGTTCGCGTTTTATGAATGTACAGTGAGATGTTTTATTAGTGTAAATTCCGCGAGAAAACGCATACCGCTAAAAAAATCGAAATCAGAGACGGGCGAAAATTTACCAATATACGGTATCACAATATAACCCATACCACTCCCAAAGCAAATGGTTTCACAATAATTCTAAAACCGGTCTTCATAGCTGGTAATAGCATTGATGATGGTAATTTTGAAAGACGTTTTGTTGAGTAATTGGCAGACCCAGCAATGTTATGTTGTTTGTAAGGCCATTTTCGTAATATATATATATGTATATATTTACAGTAGAGTGAAGGAAGATCCAGTTTTTCATCTGCTTAAAGGATAGATCTAAAATTAAGGGCATTTAGGATATTTCTTTGCAAAATATTTTTTCAAACATTTCTCCACGTCAATATGTTTTACAAATCCGAGATGACAGTTGTTTGTATTGATTAAAACAAGTTAAATTGATAAGAAAAAAAAATAAGAGGTTAAAAAGTAGCATGATAAATAGGAAAAATCACACATCTATACTTCTGTATAACTAAATAAAAAGAAGACTCGTATGATGTTGTACTCAAACAACAGTGCACACGCTGAAATGTCACGCCAGTTTTTCTTTCATCGGTTTCATGTTGTAATATGAAGGTTTTAATACAAGTTTCACATAAACTTAACATTATCAATGTTCTATGAAAATGAGGTCAAGGTCATATGAACCCTGCCAGACAGACATGTACACCTTATCATCATTCCGTATACCAAAATATAGTTGATCTATTGCTTATCATATCTGAGAAAAAGACCAAACCACAAAAACTAAACATTGTCCAATAAACCATGAATATGAGGTCAAGGTCAGATGAGACACCTGCCAGTTGGACACCTCAAAATCATTACATTCACCAAATATAGTAAATTAGTAGACCTGTGACCTATAGTATCTGACATAGGACTTGAATACTAAAAAATAACCTTGTTCGCTGATCCATGAAATGAGGTCGAGGTCATGTGAAAACTGTCTGACAGGCGTAAAGACCTTGTAAGTTACGCTCATATGAAATATAGTTATCGTATAACTCATAATAAGAGAGAAATTAACATTTTAAAAATACAAACTTTTTTAAGTGTTCACTGAACCATGAAAATAGGTCAAGGACAATGAAAATATGACAGACGGAAACTTCAAAACGTAAGGCATCTATATACAAAGTATGATGCATCAAGATCTTCTACACCCTCTGAAACATTTCAATTCTAAAGTAATTAGTTAGTCCACACCAATTTGATTTACAGTTCTTCGGACAAAAGCTCTTGGGCGAGCGAGCGAAATTTTTTCATTTTAATTTTTTCTTGAAAATTAGTTTTTTGAGGCGAGTGCTCTACAAGTGAAGCGAGAGGTATGTATTTTTTTTTAAATTGTGCGATTTAGAATTTATGTACATGTTATAACTGGGTTACTTCATAGAAAAACGAGGAGAAACATGCTCTAATGCATATTACTTGATTTTTTTTCTTCAGTTTCAGAAAACCATCAACATACTGATGTTTACCTTCCGGCGCATGCCTGGTAAATGTTTCCAAATTTATAATTTATCAAGTATTATCAAACGTAGATTATCAAAAATTTTTAGTTTTCCGCAATAATGCTTTTAGATTTTTCATTTTTATTTATTTTTTTCTAATATTTAATTTTTTATTTAATTTTTTTAATCTAAGATAAAAACATGATTGCCTGTTTACTTGTATCGTGAGTGAGTGCACCCTTGAAGGTTTCTGTAGTGGTGTTTTTAGTTATGTCGGAGGGTAATTTGTTCCAGTCTTTTATGGTTTGACAAAAGAAAGAAAATCGGTAGCTGTCTTTGTTACATTGAATTTGTCGGTAGGCATCTTCATTGGTGGATCATGCTTGTATTAGACTGACTCTGCTGTAATACATTTTGCGATGGAATGGCAATATTTTCATTTATAATTTTGTGGAGCATTATTAGCCTTGTTCTTAGTCTGCGTTCTTGTAATGTTTGCCAATTAATGGTGTCTAGTATCTCAGACACACAGCTGGTGTTGTGATGTCTGTTACATTTATTGGTGCCTTTTCCATACCAGACTTTCTTGTCTCACTGTGGTTTAGTTAATTTTGATTATTTTCGTCAAATAAGCTTTGTCTGCGTGGATTTTCATTTAAATCCATATATGTATATATATTAAGGAAATATAGCAGTTTTACAAGAGGAATTATGTTAGTTAGGTAAATGACATATGTTGAATAAAATTAAAATATGTGTATGTATCCACAAAAATGCCCCTGAAAGATATTAAATATTTTCTGATATAGTTGTTTTCATTACATGTAAATGGTAATGATTGTTTTTTGGCTGCTTGACATCCAGTTGGAAATATTTATCTATATTTAGGATCAACATAATGAGTGAGGTGAATATTTCTTGCTTTGTACTAAAACAACATCCTGATTAAGATAGTTATATTGCTATTCATGTAGATCTCAATGTATTAAAATATTCCCTTAAAGGACCTGTCTCCACATTCACATGCATTATTCTGACTGAGCAAAATACTCTTTCCTTTTGCTCTTAAAGCGAGACTCTTAAAGCTGCAATGCATTTAACACTCTTTAGCTTGACTAGAAGTGGTTGAACCAATTACACATCCCTTATTATTATTATGAGCATGTCAATCACAATACCATGCGCCACCTTGGTCTCGTACATTGGAACAGTCTTAAATTCCCCTTTACAAAAGAGTTCTGCTTGCATGCCAATGGACTAACAAGGGGATATGGGGTTTCATCAAAATAAGATAATTCTGTGATTTTTTAAAAAGTTCATGGGAAAGTTACAATTAATTTCATCCAAGACAGATAGGTCTATGTCTGTTGAAACAGGGATCGAGGATGACGATGGTTCTAACAAATATTGATGTGATTGTGATCATCTAACGAAATATTTTTATTTTTTGTCTCCTAGAACAGGTCTTCAAAGGTAAAACAAACGAGATGCATTTCGGATAACTGTGTGTTCAATAACTACTTGTCCACGGCAATGAACTGGAAACAACTGCATGTTGGCATCCCAATTTTTGACCTTTTATTTACAAATCGATTTATCACATGTGCGTTTGAATCGATCGGAGCATTATATGCAATAGAAAAACTTTTTTGTGAAAAAAATTTCAAGGAGAAACTAATTTTGGAGCGGAATGCGAACCAAAAATTTGTGAAAAGTCGCAGGCGAGACAAAAATCTAGCCGTACCGAAGTTCTAAATTTTTGATGAAGCAATGCAATCTATAAATGTGCCAAATTTTCTTTATCTAACAGTTTTGACCATTTTTTTTTTAATCTAACAGTTTTCTAATAATTGCGGACAGTAAATTATTTCGGCAGGTCATATGACTTCCTCATAGTGCAAGTACCACTTGACTGATTATCCGAGGAACCTTCTTCAAATGCACGAAAAGGTCCTGTAGAAAATTTTAACAAAATAAATTATTTATTGTCCGTAATCACACAGAACATGTGGGTTTTTATATAATAATAAATATGAGTGTTAAGATAATAAATTAAAATACTGTAAGGTACTAGTAGTTTTACAACTATTTAAAACTTTACATCACCTTTCGGTTGGAGCACTTAATTCTTGGTGTTCATTGTCATTTTCCTGATTTTTAACACTGTTTTGTTGTGAAATATCATTAGTTTCTTTTTCCTCTGGAATGTCTCCTTGTTCAAGGGCTTCGTCTGTTTCTGAAAATGAACAATCTGGTGCTTGTACTAAGCCTGCAGTCTCCGAAGTAATTGGATCATTGTTTCCCTTTAATAACACGTGATCTTCTTTTGACCTTTCAGTATTTACACTGTATTCGTTTAAAGGAGTTATACCTGAATACTCAGTATTGTTTGGTGGAGCATTAGGGGATTTAAGTGCCCTTAATTCAGGTGATACCAGGCCGCCACTAGCCTTCCGCGTAATTATAACCTCGCCTTGTCCAAACTGAAAGTCGACGGTAGCTATCTCATGTGGCTTTCTACCTAAAACACCAGTATTAGAATTTTCCAGTTCTTTTGAATGTCTATGTTGTGTACGAGCTCTTCTTAAATCTAATTTTACTAAAGGATTTGTATATTGTTCGGCTTCTATAAGGACATGGTTATCGGGAAGGACATTCTTGGTTCCTTCAAATACGTCTAAAGTCTTAAATTTTGATAAAGCAGCTTTTGATGTCTGCTTTCTTCTTATGTTATCCGAACTTGACGCTGAAGATGAACTATGGTTGTCTCTTCCGTTGGGAAGTTGAATCTGCGCATGTTGATTGTCGTTTTCGTCATCCTTGTTGGCATCCATTTTCACAACCGACAATGCTTGTCGCAGGTGAGAAGACCTTGAATTTTCTTTTTTCTCTTTATCTAATCTAATATTTACTATAGATGGGTGTGTTTTTGCCTGACTCATTCGTAGCCAGTGTTCTTTATCAGCCTTTCGACGAAGACTTTCTTCATCTATTTCTTCTATAAATCTATTGCTGTGCACGTTTTGAAGTTGTGCAAATGTAAAGCGGTGATTTGGATTCAGGTTATAAGCATCAACAGCAAATTGGTCTAAATTTATTCTTTTTAATCCATTTATTCCATGGCTCTTTGACTTTGTTATATCTCTACGAGCTGATTTATTTTCATCGTTTCCATTTTCATCTGAATTTTGTACGTTTTGAGTTTTATCTGATAAATCAAAAGGGTTTTCACACTTTTCAAGATCATTCATATCGGTTTTTAGATTAAGCGAAGATTTTTGCTTCATTTTGTAATGGCTTAAAGTGAGATCATTCCGACGAGGTTTCGGAGCAGTGTCCGCCCTTAATTCAAGATATTGATGCTGAATTTGATTCAAAGATTTCAAGTTGGTGTGGCGTCGTTTCATTTTCGAAATCATCTCATCAGACCGGTAGTTGTTCTGGTACGCCGTCATTCGTTCGCGAATCATATCCGCCATGATTGCTCTATCAGCTTTGTCAGTCACGTCTGATGGCATCTCTGAAAACCATTTGTCAATTTTATTGCTGAAAGTAACATTCGTTTTACTTCTAGGACCGAGTGATTTAGTGCGTTTAACCTTTTGTTCTGATTGTGTTCTTTTATTGGGGTCGTTAGATTGAATCACGGGTAAGGAAACAGCCTTATTCTCAGGTTCGTTTACATCCACATTCCCGGTTTGGTTTCCTACTTCATTTAAAGAAGGTAAATTAAAGTTTGTCATCATAGTTTTCTCTCGTTCGGGAAGTCTGGCCATATCTTCTGGCCCAAAGTATGGGGCGTTACTATTTAGCGCTGCTAAACTTGGATCTTTCTTTTCCATTAAACTTAAGTCAACGTGACTATGGAAATGATATTTCTTCTGCATTTTTGCATTTGAAGACTTATTTAAATCCTTGAAACTACTACTACGTTGGAGGCGTTCCTCATAATTACTTTTCTGTCCGGAAAAGGACAAGTCATCTGCAATTTTAGGAAACTTTCGTCTTGACAGAAAGTTGTACATGTCACGTGGATTTGTGATATCCGGATGCATATTACCAAATAATGCTGGATTACTTTTTACAAGTAAATCTTTTGGTCTTAGTTCCTTTTTAAGTAACTTTTTGTCGGCAGTTAACATATTCTCTACGTTTGAAACCAAAAGATCATAATCGATCTCGATAGTATTTTCAATTGCTTGTTCTGGTTCATTTTGACTTTGAGTATTTCTAGGTGTGTCAGATCCTCTGTTATAAAAGCGCCTCAGACCACCAGGCGCAGTCCGCGGCCCTGGATAGTTTGCTACTTCAAGAGCCCTGAAAATAAAAATTGAAATTAATAAATGAAAAATGTAAGAAATACGGTAAAATAAGTGAGAATTGTTTTAACATATGAGTAACAATCTTGTCATACCTGCATTCTGCATGTGAAGTTGTTAAAGACTTTACTGAATAAAAACGTCAGGAAAATTGTATATAACCTAGAATAGATATATTGATTAAGGATATATTTTTATACGGAAATGTAATGAAGCTATATATACATATTAAGGAATAGTGATTTAAAAATTAAGACATCGTCTTCATGAAAGTAAGATTACGAACTATTTAAAGGTTGTTTCTTACTTTATTAAAATATGTTATGAATACAGTAATGCTTATAGGATACAATTACCCTTAATAAAAGTATATTGACGTATTTCACGGAATTAGTTATCTGTTTTCGAGCTCCTATATTCATAATTAAGTATATTGTTGTTATTCCGAGGATCGATTTTCGTCTGAGCTATATCACAGACAAAAACCAGTACGTCCGCTTTTGTTGACTCATTTATGTAAATTTGACATTTTGAACAGGCTCTCCTCGAAGTTATCTAGTTTCATGTTATGTCTGAGATGAAGTTATGTAACCTTTGAATAATTCAGCTTTAATTTTCACTGCCGGAATCATTACAATGTATTTGAAAAGAACAAATTCCGTTAATAAAAAAATTAAAGTGTAGGTGTTTAAAATGCAAAATTAGTTCTAGTCGGATTATAAAAACGCTAAATTGTCGATTTATATGTGAAATGAACCAATGCGCGTTAATGAAAAAGTATTAAAAAAACGAACTCCAATGTAAATTCAAAAAGGGAAAGTCCACAAAAATTGACAAAATCAAAAGTTATCAATCAATTGAACGAGTGAAAAACAAGTGTTAAATTCCAGCTGACTTGGCACAGGCATTTTCCGAAGAAGATGGAAGGGTTAAACCTGATTTTATAGGTAGCTAAACCTCCCACTTGTTTTTCCAAGACATGAATTCCCGCATTACTTTTTCCCATTCATTTCTTTACAAATGAATATTGAAAATGTCAGCGCACCGACAGAATGAATTTTAAATTGTTTTAGGATGATCATCGGACAAGAGACTAAAAGTTTGATAAAAAGCCACAAACGGAAGATAAACAGAAACACCATGTTCAATAAATGAAACTGACGAGAGAAAAAAAGACAAGTCCATAAAACACTACACATAAAACTTAAGATTGGGCAACACGAATCCCATCAAAACCAGGAGTCGGGTATATGCAAGTACATTTAAATCAAGAATTGATGCATACCATTTCAATTGATATTTTATAGTGTGTCTTTCTATGTTGTAATGCTACACTACTATTTCAAGTTAGGGTGAAGGTTGGCGCCTGTTAAAACGTTTAAACCGCTGCATTTGTTTGCACCTGTCCTAAGTCAGGAACCTGTTTCACTGTTTGTCGTTTGTTGATGTGGTCTTGAGCGTTTCGCTTTTCTCGTTTTTTTATAGATTAGACCTATGATTTTCCTGTTTGAATTGTTTTACACTAGTCATTTTGGGGCCCTTTATAGCTTACTGTTCGGTGTGAGCCAAGGCTCCGTGTTGAAGGCCGTACTTTGACCTATAATTGTCTACTTTTTACACATTATGACTTGGATTGAGAGTTGTCTCATTGGCACTCATACCACATCTTCTTATTTCTATGTATAACGTTTTCATCGGATATCACTGTAAACGTCGGGTAGAATAATGTTCGAACTATTGAAGTAATGTTTCGATAAAAAAATGTCTAATATTGTAAACCTACTACTTGTTAAAAGAGCTATTAGAGACCGTTTGCATCATTACGGTGGAAACTTTATAAAAATTTCTTCACAAAGCTCGACTAATGACAAAACTGTGTTTTTATTAAGGGAAATGCCTGTACCAAGTCAGAAATATGACAGTTTTTTTCAATTCGTTCGATGTGTTTGAGATTTTGATTTTGCCATTTCATAAGGGACTTTCCGTTTGAATTTTCCTGGGAGTTCGGTATTTTTGTATATTACTTTTCGCAAAAATTAAACCCCATCAAATCAAGGTACACATGTACTTTGAAAATATGTATCATGACTTATGTCTTTTATATTTGATATTGGTCACCAGAAAGATACAAATATTAGCAAATGTTTTATATTTTAACATGTATCACGATTAAAAAGGGCTGTTCTTATTCGGACATTGGCCTGTGCTAAATCCAATTAGAATGAAGTGGTGAACTTCACTCTTTGAATTAAGCCACATAAGTATCAGTTATATGCAGCTCAGGATTTTTTTTAACTAAAATTATCTTTTGTCCTCCTCCTGCAGAGGTAACCTCCAAACCGTCGTATGACATTGTTAATTTTACAACTAAGGAGAACTTAAACTATAGTGTTATTACTTGCTTCTATTAAGAACCAGGTTCACTTTTGCCAAAATTTGGCCATGAATTTCAACTTTATGATAAAACATGCTAAATTCCTCATTCTTTTGGTTCTTAAATGGGTGTATTTCAAAAGCTTTAATGCTACGTAAAGCACATATCTTCATATGGGAGATACCATTTGATTTTTATAGGGGTGTGGGGGATTGGGGGTGGGGTGGGGAAAAATTCAGGATAAACTAAATTAAATATTAAAAAAGACAGACCGAATAGAGTGAAAAATAAAAAGGCAGGACAGAGATTACAACTAAAAATGCAGGACAAAATTTTCAAACCTAGCCCCCCATAAAATTCAAATGGTAGCTCCCTAAGATTATATTATTGTACAGGTTGTATGATCCAAAGTCAGCACATTTGGGATGTGTTGTCAAAACATGCCGATTCTGTGCAATATTTTGACTTAAAAGTTTCAGAGAAACCTTGGCCGCAACCTACGCTGCATCCAAAATAAACTGTTACCAAAATGTGTCAATGTTAAAATTGAAACCCTAAACACAACACTTTTCTGGATCAAGGATTGTGGTCAAAGTTATCTTTGCGAAAAAAACAGTCATGAATTATTAGTATGAAAATATAACCAAAGTTAAAGTTTTATTTGAGTTCATAACGTCGTAGTTTATGTGTACTAACTTAATTTGTATTAATTGTTAGTTCAGAAGATTTTCTAACAAGTCTTTTAGCCAGACCAAAAAAATCAACATCTTAGAACCGATTTGAACCCTTCGTGAACCTTCTTCCTTAGTCATAGTCGTTTTTGTTTTATGTCAACTAAAAATACCGCCTCTCATCATTCCCTCCTAACATTGTTAAATAAGTAGATGAATAAACTTTTGCTCGCTCGCTAATAACTCTTTTTGTCTCTCAAAAAACCCGAGTAGCTACACCTACTTGGTGACTTAATTTAACATTATATTTAATTTTGTTACAAGAACGATTAATGGTTAAACTGTTTGTCCCGTTTCCACCCTATATTTGCGGATCTTTGGTTTTCTGTGTAATGTTATTGTGACTATTGTTTGTCTGTTTCCTTTGATCATGAAAACTTTCCTTCCTCGACTTGTAATTTGCGTTACCTTCGTATGTTTTTGTATGATTTATAATAATAAGAAGATGTGGTATAATTGCCAATGAGACAAATCTCCACCAGAGACCAAATGATATAGAATTTAACAACTATAGGTCACCGTACGGCCTTCAAACAATGAGCAAAACCCATAGCGCTTAATGAGCTTTATACAAGAAAATTAACGGCCTGATTTATGTACAAAAACAATAAATGAAAAACAAATATAAGATATACAGCAACAAACAACAACCACTGAATTATAGGCTCCTGATTGGGACAGGCACGTACAGAATGTAAGTTCATTATGCCCGAACACTTGGGTAGAAAATGAAAAAAATATTCCAGCCCACACGTAGGTAAAAACAGTTAACAAACCCAATTTTATCGGATTTATAAACCCATATAATATTCCGTTATAAACAGCAAAATTAATACAAAAGTATTGGTTAAATTTTCATATTTACCTTTATATAATCAACATCAAAATCCATCGCTAAGCAATACACATATTTGATCAACCTCCGTATTTAATTAAACAAACTGGGATTATGGCTGAGCAACTAAATCCTATGTTTTTCTTTTGTAACTGTGCTCAGTCAACTTGATCTTTTCTACACGATTAATCCCTGTTTAACCATGCTTGGTTTGTTAATATAATCAACATTAAATTCTTAATTTTTGTATTAAATTTTTAAATCAACACTCACCTATATATATTATATAGGTTTTTTGCGATCAAAATGGGAAAATCCAGAGATAAGTATAGTGTAAATAGTGCACTGGGTACATAAATTTGTGAAAATTCGGTTTTTACAAAGTAGAAATAAATGTGGATACAAATATTAAAATGCTTGAGAGTTTTGGATGCCTTCACATACTATATAAAGTATGGCGTATAAGCAAGGCAGAGTATATCAAATAAATTATATTCTTTTCGACATAGAATAGAATCGAGAATGGAAACGAAAAATGTTCCAAAGAGACAACAACCCGACCAAACAGCCAAAAGCCACCAATGGGTCTTCAACGCAGCGAGAAAATCCCGCACACGTTTTAACAAGTGAAGAAGTATCATTCTGGTTTCAAAAACATTTATTTGTTTACTTGTATCAACTCTTTTACAGCCGATTGTTTGAAGTGTTTTTTCTTGTATTATTTAAGTCCTGTTTGACTTACATGTATATATATATATATTGTTCTATCGATGCTTTATTTTCTGCCTTGTAATTTACTTAGCATTTCAGACCTATAAAATTATGATATAACGTTACAAATGATATATTATTTCAGTGGAATTTATTTGAAGCATAGTATTCTTTTGTACAAAGTACAGGAGGTAGGTGTCTATATTAACCACCAAATATGCGACATTCGTAAAAAATATGTATATAGTGAGAACCAAATTGAAAGTTTTAAGTTGAAAGGGTGTCACAAATCAGCCTCAATGGGATATTTTGCAAAACGCAAGGCCTTAAGTTTCTAAATCAAATAT